ATAATTAAGCTGAACAAAAAAAGTCTTACCTTGTATACTCTTTCTACCTTCGCTGGTACTACTAGCGCTACTTGTAGTGGACAGAGTAGGAGAAGGATTTCTTCTTCCTCTGCTTGCGCTGAGAGGCACCGCTGCAGCCACTGCAACTGCTCCTGCATGAGGCTCGCAGTCCACGGACAGACCGTGCAATCGCTCCTCGTCCGTTATCACTTTCATGTTTGCGAGATAAGCCTTTACTCTTCTGACCATCTGCGCTTCCTCGAACATCTTCTTTGGATTCGGCGCAGCGGTGGACTTCTTCCGCCTTTTCACAGTTGCAGTTTGTCCGCCTGGACAATGCAATACTGTTAGTGAAAATAAATCATTATGTACTATTAATCACATTTTGAGTGAATTAGTTTTATGTTACCTTGATTGCCGGTGGTCATTTGATTTAACGCGACCATGGCGGAACTAGGCAGTTGACCACCTCTTTCCAGCATTATGGACAAGTCGTAGGGCGAAGAGCACATGTTCGTCAACGTTCTCACTTCCTTCGCGATCATTCTCAGCTTCTCGAAATTGACTAAACCTTCTACTATAGAATCATTGCCAAGGTGAATGAACGTCAAGTCTTTCTTCACTACAGGATAGAACGGAATCTGTAAAAAAGCGAGAGTATTTAATGAAACTCGTGTTGTGAAACGAAACAAAAAGTATGTTAATATGTCCGAATTAACATGAAGTGATGACTCACTATGGGAGGTTGTGTTTGTTCAGACGCCACCAATTGTCTGTACTTGCTCATGTTGCGGCTGGGATCCATCAACTCTTGCAGATCACTGAATAGCTTCTGATATTTATTTGGCAGTTTTTCCCAAGAAGCCCGTAATCGTGAAACAGCTCCGTGGCCCAGACCAGATACAATTGCGAACATGGAATTGAAATTTTTGCACTCCTTACATTGGCCTGTTGGCAAAGAAGAATATTAATAACTTCCTGTAAAACGGAATATTCTTCGATAATTTTCCAAGCAAGAAACTCACGAGCTATTTTTATAAATTGCTTTATTATTTTACTACGTCGAACAAGGTTGTGTTCAGAACAAACTTCTGTTACAACCCAGAACATTTCTCTGTTGACTAGTTCCGCAAACTGCCTGAGCATAGGCACTCCATATCTACTTTTCAATTCGAACAAATCGTCCACGTATTCCGTAGATTCAATTTGCCTGAGAATAAAAGTTTCATGATAAACCGTTGTTAATATGCCTAAATGATTTACAACTTTCTCAATTTACCTAAATATACTGAAATCTTGTAACGTTAACTGAATGGCGACTTCAACTGCGTTCAATTGTAAGAAATGAACCTGAGATTCACGAATGAGTTCAGGCGCCTGTTCATCTGTTACGAGCGTCTCCGAAATACCATTAGTTTTTAAATAATATCGAGAACTTAAGCCAATCCTTTCCGCAAGATCTTGCAGTTGATCCTGTAACCTACTTTGCTTAATCATGCCCCCTTCTCCAACGCTAACTTCGGCCAGAGAAAAGTTCGAACTGCTCTCAGTTATACCGAATTCTTGAAGCGCAAGCATTACCACCTACAAGAATAATGCATTCGCATGAAAGTAGCAGAGGCATTTACCTACATT